ACACGGAGAAGTGTAAAACTATGACAATCAAGGAGGCCATAAAGGCGCCCTACAATGGTAGGGACGACTGACGATACGGGCCTTATGCCTAAATGTCACTTGTTTCCGTTGACCTGTCAGTATATCTGCTTTAATTTATTTAACAAGGCACTATACGGAACGATGCAGTACCTAGTTACTTGGAGACGTTGTTGATACGATCGTTTTTTTATAGAAATGTTAGACGTTCCATGTTCGACTACAATTTTTCTGATCACAGTTTGGTTTGTGATAGAAACGATAATTGATAATTAATCATTTACTGTCTAAACATAATCGGAATTCATTATTGAAAAATAAAATTGGAAATACAATTAGCTGCTGTGTTATCCTGTACGTCTTGAATTAAGTATTTGATTATTAATTCCACCCCTCATTCTGTTACAGTTCTCGGAATGGACGGATCATGACAGGGAAGATGATGTCGGTAAGTATTCATTATTTTGAAATACATTTATCGCCCGAAGTATCGTATTTTCAATCCTATTAGTGATTGCCGATCGTCGAGATAGATGTTGCAGGTGCAATCAAAAATTTTATTAAATATCCTGCTTGAGTCCGTCCGACCTCTCACGGCCAATCGTGGACAGTAGTTTCGTGTTTTTTTTTTGGCAAATCATCAGTATAGCTTGGTCTCAGGTAGGACAACGGACGAAAGCACAGCAGCTATCCTCTATCTGAAATTGAGTCATTTATTTTAACAGTGGGTAGATCTGATCAAAAGAAATGTTTTTTCCTTTACCATTTTTCTGGTAAAATTAAAGTAACAAAGTTATAGCCCTTTGGAAGTTTGAGTACCGCCCTGTCTCAATCATAATATTATGTGCTCGTGTTTGGCAACAACGGATATAATCCGCCTTATCGGTTCATCGCATCGGAAACAAAAAAGCGAAAGAATTTGGAACGATGTTTTTACAATTTTTTTATTCCGTTGTATACAGTCAGTGTCAGTCGGTAACGCGTGAGTGAATAGTGGTGTCTGTTGCGTGGCTCAAACGAAATCAAAAATGGCACATGTTTATGCGGATCGGTTTCCCAATCGAGTGCAACCAACCCCTCAGGTGACTTAAGACCTCACAGGCGACGGCATGCCGGTGCTCCAAGACCTCACGATCAAATACAGGTCCGCACTGAAATACTTGTCGGGAGGATACTTTACAAAACAAGGTAAAATTTTTTTTTAAATTTTTTTTTTATTTTTACACACATATTTTGGTTTATCTTCCTTCTACAATCATTATCTGAAAATTAATGATTCAACTTCAAAGTCACCCTGTATAAGATCTATCGGAATAAGACAGCAGATAGATGGTACCACAAGTTAAAACCACGCAATTTGATAATTTTCAAGCGTCTTCTACAATACCATGTACTGGAGTAACATATCACCCACAAAACCTATAAGCATGTATACCTACCTACCTACCTACCTACCTACCTTTTTGAGGATCCCAAAGAAATTTTGTTTATCCGATTTTTGGTCCACCTAAGGTTAGTAGAACTGGGAAAAGCCTCCTCTTGTAGATTGTTCTACTATCTCGACACGGTTAGGATGGTAGGTCGAAGTCAGGCGAGTCTGTCTGTCAAGCATGGAGGAGAGCTCCGAGGAGCAAAGCCCGTTGGTGTAGCGGTAGATCGCCAACGGCCCGACGGTGCGAAATATCCTCGAGACTGTCTGTTAGAGAAGAATCATCGATCAGTCGGATAGCCCTCTTCTGAACAGTATCGAGCATAAGTAGCAGTACCTCAAACGGGTGAGCAATACTCGAGGCTAGGTTTGATCTGGGCCTTACATACAGTGAGGAGATCATGCGGAGAAAAGTTCTTCCTAGCCCTCGGTGACCAGCCGAAACAAACGGCTCTTTTGCAAAAATCGGTCATGCATAGAAACCGGATGAGGGCTAGGATGCGTTTTGTTCGTCAAGGTACAGCCCTGTGTTTTAGAAGCATTAAACTGTACAAGATTGTTACGTTCCCAAGCAATGATAACCTCCAGATCTCTCGTAAGAGAGGAAGTCGCTGCTAGTCTTCTTTTTTCAGTTCACTGGGAGACATCGGCTTGTCGCTCTGAATTCCTGCACGTAGAGTGTTGTCATCAGCAAAGCTGTGGATTAATTAGATCGAGGAAAGGAGGTCGTTGATAAGGAAAAGGATCTGAGTCGGGGCCAAGACCGATCCCAAACACCCGCGTTGACGTTGTGGGATGAAGAGGAGAAACCGTCAATTACGTCGGATATCTTGCGGCCAGCTTCTCTGGCTATAGGATGGAAGTTTGCATAAGAGGCCAGCGTGCCACAGCTGATCGTACGCTTTCATGATATCAAGAGCAGCAATATGAGCTTCACCATAAGATTGGATGAGGTTACTCCACAATTACGTGACGTAAGCTAGGAGGTCACCTGTGGATCGCTGGTACCGGAAACCATTCTGCCTGTCGCTAATCAGGTCGTGACATTTGAGATAGATCCCTTTTTGGGATGGGTTGGGCATAAGCAAATTTCCAGTATTTTTTTAAATGTGATGGATTCGTAAGACGTGAAACAAATTGAGTAAGCTCCGCTGCACACCTCTTCAATACAACAGCAGGAATAAGCTCCTTGGCATTGCGGACCGCTTCGTTATATTTGTTTTTGGACTCTAGAGAGGGGTTTTGTAAGAAGGTTCTGTGTGCCTTGCTCTTCTACTGATGAGCAGTGTCGCACAATTTGGTTTAGACACTTTCACTGTATGAGGCAAGTATTCCTCCATCCCAATATCGATGAACAGACAGCCGACGCGTTCACGTCAGCGTAACAAACATCTCTCCAAGGAAAGGTAAAGGGCATTGAAATCCCCAAGAAGAACTACCGCTGAAGCAGGGTGGTAGATGTTCAGGAAGTCGATTTTGACAGCGAGGTATTCAAGAAGGTCGTCCCAGTAAAGGTCCGAGGGAGAGCGATAAAGGCAGCTAATACATTTGTGGGATGTTCTGGAGCTGAGCAGAAGCCATAGACCGTGATGAACAGCATCAATGTTGCTGCTAATCCCGCAGCTGTCCATGAAACAAATTTTATCATCGATGTTGTTTCCTCGAGTCCACCCTCCACCCCGACATTTCGAGAGTGGAGCGAGTTTAAGTCCGGAATTCTGAGTACTCGAGGGATCCATCATCATTAATTTCTTTGTTGGGAAAGATAACCGGCTGCGTAGCTTAGGTGTGGAAACATGCGGACATCCTCAAGACACCCTGGGAAAAGCTAGCTTTGACTTGAACGTCGGTTAAGACTAATGGATTCCTAACACTGTATTTTAATCAACTTTTTCCACACACATTTTCCAATTCACGTTTTTATTTGGACTTCCAATAATTTTGGCCATTGGTTTGGACCATATTTGAGTATGATATTGATTCGTGGAAAGAAGCAGGATCATACGAATCAAATTTGAATTACTCCCATGATGTGACGTGTCAGCTTATGAGTTACACTTTTTACTTTTTCCCGAGTACTCCTTTCATTGTTCCATTTTTTGTTTTTGGGAATTTCATTTTTATATAAAGTTTTGACACATAACAGAAGCTACCATTTATTCATCTATTCGAGTATACATATCACATTTAAATTACTTGAGCTATCAAGCTAATTCTATTCCCAACGCTTTTACTGCAAACACCCCAAAAGCACTTTTCACAACATCAAACAGTGTCCCACTTCCGTTTTGCTTAGCAGGCGCTCGTAGAGCAGGGATGGTTACACAGAACCTTACTAGTAGTGTTGGTAGTGTTAGAGGCAAGAGCTGTGGTGACCACAGTGCTATTAGTATCATCTGTAGTAGTGACAATTGTGTTGTTAGCAACGGATACAATAGCTTCATTATTGCATTTGAAACAACGGTGTTGTTAACCTAACCTATGCCACTATACACCTTCGCAGTTGAAATACAAGGTATACCCATCTTCCGAGACGAACCTTTACATGTTTTTGGAATTGTCTTTCTACGTACTGTTGTGGCACATGAAAAAGACATAACAGTAAATAAAATTTCTTCATCTATTCAAGTATACATATCATAATTATACTCGTATTACTTGAATCAGTAAGCTCATTCTATTCCTAACGCGTTTACTGCAAACGTTCCAAAAAGCGCTTTTCACTCCATCAAACAGCTTTCCTCCTGCAGTCTATTTAGCAGTCGCATGTAGAGCCAGGATGGTGACACAGAACGCTATCAGTACTATCTGTAGTAGTGACAGTTGCGTTGTTAGCAACCGACGAGATAGCCTCTGTTGTTGCATTTGAAATAAAGTTGCTGTTGTTAACGTAACCTATTGCACCATACACCTTTGCGGTTGAAATACTAAGAGCACGAACCTCTAGCGTTCGGGTTCGTTCATATCGGAGGCGCTTCGCTTTTGAGACCTCGGCTACGATTAAAACACACTTATATTTATAGACGCATTTTCCAAGCAGTTCACAATGGCTCCTTTATGAGTTAAGAAAATATTACTACTCGAAAGTATTGCGTTGAAAGTTAATAGAAGGAAACGTCTATTTCTTTCCACATTTTTTGTAACGCGTGTACATTTTTATGCAACAAATGCTTTGGATTCCGTATTGCCTCTCGTTTAAGAACGGCGGTGATAATTTGTTCTTCCGCTATATATGCAGATAACCTTCGGAGTTCTCTGAACAAGTGAGGCAAAACGCAACGCAAAACCAACCCATCGCGTTTTCCACCGCTTTGCATAGTATAACGTAGGCACAGTGCTTAGCGCCATGCGCGCGGTTTGAATACATTCATTTACAGCCGAGTTCTCGTTCTTCTAGCTTTCCCCTGGGCTGTAAAGTGAAGCACACAGCTCCAAGCGAAGCGCCTCCGATGTAAACGTACACTAAGTATACTGATCTCTATCTCTTTCCGAGACGAACCTTATCAAGTTTTTGGAATTCTTACATACTGCTCTAGCACAAGAAAAAGACACATAACAGTAAATACAATTTATTAATCTATTCGAGTATACATATCACATTTAAATTATTTGAACTGGCAAGCTCATTCTATTCCCAGTGCTTTTACTGCAAACATCCCAAAAGCGCTTTTCACTCCATCAAACAGTTTTCCTCCTGCAGTTTGCTTAGCGGGCGCTGGTAGAGCCAGGATGGTTACACAGAACATTTGGGGAGGCCCTTTATGTTCGTTACTAGTAGTGTTGGTAGTGTTAGGTGCAAGAGTTGTGGTGACCACAGTGCTATTACTACCATCTGTAGTAGTGATAGTTGCGTTGCTAGAAACTGTTGAGTTAGCTTCTGTCGTTGCGTTTGAAACAACGATGGTGTTGTTGACGTAACTTATGTCACCATACACCTTCGCAGTTGAAATACAAGGTATACTGATCTCAGTCTCTTTCCGAGGCGTATCTTTGCACTCAGGAGCTGTGTTGTTTACACAAGGTACCACAGTTTTAACGCAATTGGTTTGGAGGCTGCCAGAGCACGGTACTGTAGTAGTAGCACTGGCTACGCACATAACTGCTCCATTGTTAGTACACAGAGAAGTGGTGTTTGCAGGGCAGAAGCTACCGCTGTCACCAACACATCCCACGATGGCATTTTGTTGGATTTCAGCCTCCTTAGGGACATTGTCCTTATTATGATAATAATGATGAACTTCATAATGGTCGTAACGGGGGACATATCCGCCACCATATGAGCTTCCGTGATATAGAAAGCTTGGTGTAGTGATTTTAGCCAATGAGTAACCAAGGAATAGGCCTAAGGCAGTAGAACCGGTGTCAAAACTGCTGTATCTGTAACTTGGAGTGTATCCACCTCCAAATCCTCCGCCGTAACCTCCGCCACCTCCATAGTGGTAGTTATTGTTGTTTATTATAGTTGTACCTCCACCCGCAGGGTAATGGTAACTACCCCCATATCCTGCAGGAGGATGACCATATCCATAAGCTGGTGGCGCTCCATAACCGGCAGGATTGTAAGCAGGAGGATGCCCATATCCTGCGGGGTTGTAGCCTGGATTGTAAGCTGGGGGATGTCCGTATCCCGCTGGGTGATACGCTGGAGGATGGCCATATCCTGCTGGGCTATAGGCTGGTGGATGTGATCCTGCAGCGTTGTAAGCGGGAGGCTGTCCAGCAGGACTGTATGCTGGGGGACGACCATAGTTGTTGGGGTTATATGGGGGAGGTCCTTGAGCGTGATTCTGGTTCGTTGGAGTGTAGTTGGGGTTGTATGGAGGAGGTTTTTCGTATTTGTTACCTGAAATAACAAAAAGTAGTTTGTTACATACTAGAATTCTTAACTGAAGTTATTGGGGAGCTTACAGGGTTGTCTATTTTACCTAATTAAATATACACGATATCCTACTAAAAATTGCAGCGACCCTTACCATTGGAATCTTCGAAGCTTTAAGAGATATGACGTCGCTTAAATGGAAACACAGTTGCGTTTTAGATAATTAAGAAAATGCCGCTTATAAACTTCCTCGTACTTATGGAGAGAGACGGAAAAACCGAATTTTCCCAAAATCGTCATAATTTTTTCCTGATTTTATTTGTAGTGGGATTTTAAAATAAATCACACATTAACATTGCCACTCTATAAGATGGCATGATTAGAGTTTTGATATCACGTTCCATCTCTTGCTCTCCAGCATCAACTTTTTGTTATAGATGCCATATTGGATTTTTGCACAGATGAATAGAGTTTTGATTATAATTGCAAAAATATGTCATGTTGCCAAACCTTAGGTATTTCAAGAAAAAGAGAATTTCCTAGGTAGGCCTTGAAATTACTGATAGTCATTTGTTTCACATACCAGATTTATGACTTACAGCTTCCAAGATCCTGGTGGTGGAGTGAGGCTTATTTAATATCTCAATCTGAAGCTTCTTATGGGCAATTTATATCCTTAGAATAAAAAATCTCTATCTTCCGCATGACCGGGCTGGCAGACAAAGTTGAGCATTTTTATACATTGAATAGCTTGGAACTCAACAACCAATGATCAAAACGTATAGTATGTTGTATACTTTTTCTCTTGAAGTGTTTATTCGAATATGTACCGAACCGAAATTATCCACGTCGGAATGGAGGAATACATCCCTCACACAGTGAAAGTTCCTAAACCAGGGTCCAACGGCTGGTTCAACAAATCATGTGACACTGCTCGCCAGCAGAAGATCAAGGCCCACAGAACCTACTTACAAAACCCCACTGTAGAGAACAGACAAGCCGACGTCGAGTCCAGAAACAAATATAACGAAGCGGTTCGCAATGCCAAAACCCAGCATGATATAAAAGTTAGGCACAGGGTAATGTCGCAGCGCAATGGCAGTCGGTCTTTCTGGACGCTGGCCAAGCACATTGAAAAGAACTTCTCACACAGTAGCCTTCCACCACTTACGTGTCAGGATGGAACTATTGTATTCGACTCAAAGGCCAAGGCGGAAGTGCTAGCCAAGATCTTTGCTGCCAACTCCACCATAGACGTCCCCACCAACGCCGAAGTGCCGTCAATTCAGAGGGTTCCCCACACTATGCGGGAGGTAACATTCAGGCATAAGACCGTAAGACGAGTGCTCTTGTCGCTCGACATCAACAAAGCTTCTGGTCCGGACTTGATTCCTGCCATTGTGCTGAAGAGATGTGCAGCTGAGCTTGCTCCAGTTCTTTCGCGTCTCTTCCAGATATCTTATGAATGCGGCACCTTCCCAGAAAACTGGAAATTTGCTCATGTACAGCCCATCCCAAAAAAAGGATCTAAAACCGACCCTTACAACTACAGGCCTATAGCTCTGCTTTCTGTTATCAGTAAAGTGATGGAGAGGTGCATAAATCGCGAGCTTCTGGACTACCTCGAACGTTACAGCTTGATTAGCGACAGGCAATACGGTTTCCGGCACCAACGATCCACAGGGGACCTCCTAGCTTACGTCACGCAACTGTGGAGTAAACTCATCCAGTCTCATGGTGAGGCTCATGTCGTTGCTCTTGACATCACGAAAGCGTTCGATCAGCTGTGGCACGCCGCCCTCTTGAGCAAACTTCCATCCTACGGCCTCCCAGAAAAGCTTTGCAGATGGGTGGCTGACTTTATCTCTGGCCGCAAGATATCCGTCGTAATTGACGGATTCTCCTCTTCATCCCACAACGTCAACGCGGGTGTTCCCCAGGGATCGGTCTTGGCTCCAACACTGTTTCTCTTACATATCAACGACCTCCTTTCCTGCACGATCAACCCAATCCACAGCTTCGCTGATGACAGCACTCTACATGCAGGAATTCAGAGTGACAAGCCGATCTCTGCCGCTGAGCTGGAAAAAAGAAGACTAGCGACGACTTCTTCTCTGACAAGAGACCTGGAGGCTATCACTGCTTGGGGACGCAACAATCTTGTACAGTTCAATGCTTCCAAAACACAGTACTGTACTTTGACGAACAAAAAGCGTCCTAGCGCTCATACAGTTTCGATGGACGGTCGAGTTCTACCAAAGAGCCATTCATTTCGGCTGGTCGGAGTCCAGATCACCGAGGACCTGATCTGGCACGAACACATCTCTTCAATAGCTGCAGCTGCTGGGAAAAGCTAGGCTATTTGTTTAGGGCTAAGATGTACTTTTCTCCGCATGACCTTCTCACTCTATACAAGGCCCAGATAAGGCCTAGCCTCGAGTATTGCTCACACATTTGGGGTGCTGCCGCCCCGACTACATTGTCCATGCTCGATGCTGTCCAGAGGAGGGCGGTCCGACTGATCGATGACTCTTCTCTAACAGACAGTCTCGGGACTCTTTCGCACCGGCGGGCCGTCGGCGATCTAGCTCTTTTCTATCGCTACACCAACGGGATTTGCTCCTCAGAGCTCTCTTCCATGATGCCGCCGCGCGATGTGCCTGCCAGGCAGACCCGCCTGACTTCGGCGTCCCATCCTAACCGTGTCAAACTTCGTACATCCAGAACTGGCCGATACGACAGCTCCTTTGTCCCGAGGGTGTCTAGATTGTGGAACAAACTACGGGAGGAAGCTTTTCCCAGTTCTACTAACCTTAGGCAGTTCAAAAATCGTATTAACAAAATTTCTTTGGGATCATCATAGCAGCCGCGGTGTTCCGGCATTTAGGCTTCTGCCTGCGCGGCTGTTTCGATATATATAAAAAAAAAAAAAAAAAATTTAATATATGGACCATTCCGTTGAAAACATGTCAAAATCTAATTTGAAACTATTCCTGTGATTTTCATGTCGATAGTCCCTCATGTTTGTCTGGTTTTAAATACATGTGGTTTCATTGGTCAGAGAAACACGGATGACTATGTCAAAATCTGTCAATAATTGTAAATTGAATGTCTCGTATTCTATTCGGCACTCTGTTAGATCCTTTTGAAAGAATGATACTAATATAAATAGCATTTTGATGATTAGTTGTTTGAGATGATTGAATGTACAAATACAAAATCGGTCAACCCTGACAGTCCACCAGCCTGCCATTTTGACAGACAGTTATGGTTATAATGTACTGATAAAGGGATTTAAAATGAGTTATCACATGACCCCCCATTCCATTCCAAAAAGTACTCCAAAGCGAAGTCCAGTCGCCATCTTGAAATTTTTATGTCACTTTTACATCTAAATATAGTATTCATGCATTAACTTCATCACTTTGAACTCCAGACTGCTAGCGTGACTCGTTCAAAAAATAAGTGAGAAGGAAATTTTTGAAAAGCACTGTCGGGGGGTTCAATAAGTTTTGTTGCTCATGTGCAAGACAATAAGCTGGATGTTGCTCAAAAATACATATTTCACTGAAAAGCATAAGCACCATAATATTATCCATAATATTATGTCAATCGTAGCGCAGACCTGAATTACAAAAAAATATATAGGGAGATTTTGAAACAATAGCAGCAGTTCCGCCGTATTTGAGTAAGCTTTTTTTTTGGAATTCAAATAAAAACGACTTCTGCTGAGTGAAATAAATTATCATTAAATGGTACTCAACCAAGACGTAATGTGCTGTGAAAATTAGATTAGAAAAGTTTTATTGTGGCTTAGCAGGAAATAACACTTCTTTGCACAAACTTTATCCATAGAAACGATTTATGATATGGAAATTATCCAGCTCATTTATGCTGTTACAGAAACACATTTACGTGAAATACGATTGGTCATATCTCCAAATTAGATTGCAGTATGGTCCTGGTAAATAACCTTTGTTTCATAAGTTTTAATCTACGCAATATGACTAGAGAACTGTGCACCTACGGCGTTTCATATACAACACAACCGAAGTAAGACTATTTGACTATGTATCGTAAGTCATCTTTAGCTATACCTGGCAATTATAAAACCGTGTTTGGTACTTGCCCACAAAACATAAACAAAATGTACAAAATTTGATTTCTCATTATTTTCTGCAAGAGGGACTGAGCATTTTTGTCAATTATTGTACTCATTGTAAACAATTACCTTGAGTCTGGGTGCTTCCAACATTAGATACTTGCTTTGGTGGACCTACCGGTGCACCAGGGCTATTGTGGACGTCGAATCCTAGTGGCCTTGGAGTACCACCTAGATGTAAACAAGACTCATATTATACATCTTCTAGATATGACATATGGTAACATAATGCTTTCCACAGTTCAAGCACATGAAAAAGCTTTTCATGCAAGGTCATGCATTAGTCCAGATGCTTTGATGTAGTTTGTCTCACTTAGACTTAGTTTTACTGCTAATGGAATTACACGAGTTATCTCAAGCCAAACGTAACCGGTAATGACCTTAGGATGGAAAAAATAGTATTCGATTGTCTTATGTTGATCACTCTGTGTTGAAAATGTCGTAAGTCCCCGCATACTGTTGTCTTTGTTCAGAATGACTCCTTGATAATAATAATTATTTTTGTGATGGACAAACTCCAGCAAAATGAATATGTATATCGATAACCCAGAGACTTACTATTCCCATGTTTCGGTTTCGGTGTGGTATGTCCATTTACATGAAATCCAATTGGTCTAACAGTAACTTTATTAACACCTGCGTAATTGAACAAATATTATGAAAGTGTTCCATTCCAGTCTGATTTATTTTTACCAGAATTAGTTGGTGAAGAATAGCTAGCCTCCAATTTGTTTTGCCTTGTACGTGTTTCTTGTCTACTCGGTATATAAAAGCCAATTGGTCTAACAGTTCCTCTATCTAAAGAATAAACACTTATGAGCTTAATCAATCAATTAATAATCAATCACAAATGAAATCAATATTGATATTTCAGTAGAAGTTATCTACAAGAGCACATACAAAAGAAACGTAAGGAACTCACTTGAAGAAATATATTATGTTAGCTGTTCGCCGGGACACGTTGTCATGTCGATCATGTCCAAGTCCTATTTCTTTCTAAAGATGTTGACAAACGATTTAACATAATCACTTTGAGCTTTACCGAGTCGAAAGGTGCCAACTTCTCATTTATTGTTATACATTCATCTGACACGCGAAAAGTGTTTTAACGTTATTTGTAATAACTTTGATCACACAGCTGTAATCATATCAAGGAAGATGTTGTTTTGGCCGTATTACCTTATAACGTTATTTTGACAGATTGATTGCGACTAAGAATGTCAAAGAGGCGTTATAGACAATAGTGAGACACAGCGTTAATTAGCTATGTAGTTCGTCTTCCCTGTATACTCTATAAAGTGTTTGTGGGATACAGACGTTGAAGCAAAGAGTGCGCAAGTGCTGACTAAGGAGGTAGTTAAAAAACACAATCTAAGAAGAAAAATAGTAAAAATCAGCACCTACAGGATACCATTACACAGTGAAGTCCATATACCGTAATGTGTGCGAGCGAGAAGCGTGCAATTTGTATATAAGCAAGAGATAGAAGCATGACGTTGCCTAGCGACCCGAGCGACGAGGCCACGGACGCAGCTTCGGCTTGCCGCGTTGCCATCGGCGCACCCTTTCTATTACCATTACCTCACAGTGATATTTGGATTTCTATGTATAAATTTCATACATACATTACAATTCTTGACAGAAAATGATGTACCTAATTTGACAATTGACATGCCTGATATTGAATGATAAATGGAGATAAGTATTAAGTGTGCATATAAGGCACCTCTATCGAGACATGGCCATGCGATAGGTAAATTGTTCATTGAGTGTATATACACCTAGTTAGACGGAAATAATATCATTGACTTTTTGTTATTTTGGGATAAAAACATAATTTGGTGTCAAACAATAAGTTTACTCACTATTACTGCTTGGAGGCTGGAATCCTATTGGTCTAGATGTTGGTGAGCTTCCACTGGAATATGAGTTTTTAGGTGGTCCAACTGGTCCACCGGAGTGTCCAGATAGGTCGAATCCTATTGGCCTAGATGTTGCCGGTTTATAGGATGGCGAAGGATAAGAAGGGTAGGAGGGATAGGAGGGATACGAAGGTCGACTGCCATACCGACTGCTACCGCCAGATCGACTGGAAGCTGAAAGAGAAAAAATAAATAAAGAATAAGAAAAATACAAGAGGGGCAATTCGGCGTACAAAAATCTTCAGTAGAACAGCATCCTCAGTGGTGACTAATATATCAACATAATGTTACTCATTTGTCCATTTTGTGAAGTTTCATCTTTATAATGATCCTTTCTATGAAAATTCGAGGACGCTCCGATAAGTACTTAGCTTACAAAAGAAAAAAGAAGATTTTGGAAAAGTGGCGATTTATTTCTCAATACGGTATCCTTTTAGCTCAATACACTTGACCTAGCGATGCTCCAACTTCTTTAACCCGTCTGAAAGATACGTTTTCTGGATGACTGGCAAAGTAGGCCTTCGTGACGACTGCTCGGAGAGTGACTTTTTCAAGTTTGGAAACAGTTTGGCAGCAGTTCGTTCGATTCTCGTTTCAAAAGCAAGAGTCGAATCACTGACCGATATTGCTCTTTTCCCATTTTTCTAAAATCCGCGAGCACGTCCGCTTCCACACGCGGTCAAAACAAAACTACGAGTTCGATTCGGAAAAAAAATTTACAGTAGCCATCTACGAGAATGTACTACACGGTAGTAAATTTCTCTTGCAATAGTGGCGCCATCGGGCGGTGAGACTAAGTACCTATCGGATCGCCCTCGTAGATGCCGTTGCCAAGTTGTGGGTTTATATATCTACGAATATTGATTGAAGATAGTGAATGGATGGCGCTGCTAGTACTGATGTTTAAGTCATTGAGTCATAGTTTCAGTCATTGTTATTGATTGGTAGGTGTGAAGCTGTTTCAATCGCAACCACGAACCACATCCAAGGTCAGTAAGATCGGTCGCAGCACAGGTCACTGTAATGTAACCTGGCCTCTCTTTTGTTCCGTTGTATTAAAATTTTAAGTAGTGAAACAAGCCAAAGCGTCAAAGATATTTGGAATTTGCTGTTGTTCTGGTTAATCAATATGCCCAGTGTTATAGTTGTAGAAATATGTCACATAAAACAACGAATTTGGACATAAAAGGCATTTCGAGACTAACCACCCGGCGGTTCAGGATCAGAATGTTGAGAAATTCGCCACAGCAAGTGAAACTGAGTAATCGATGATCCATAATGTGTATAATCAAACAGAACGTGACTATGCTACCTTCCACATCAACGTCTGCAACAGGTTATAGTTATAATCTAATCATTTATTCCAAACGTAAAGGACGGCTAACAAAAATGCATGCAATGAAGTTTCCAGTTTTAGTTTTTTAGAGTTCTTCACTAAGTAGGTTGATATATATGTAAAAGATTTTGTTTGTAATGCTAAGAGTTGTTTTGTTGGTATTACATACTATTAAATAAAATAGAAATAAAATCATTCAAAATAGCACACTTTAGGAAGCTCGACATGTATGGTAGCTCATTAACTGTAGACGGTAACCGCCACCAAATATGAATTGCAGCCAGCGACCCAAAGAGCTGCTAAAACTATCGCTGTGACCGATATACAGCTTACTTGGAAGTCATCTCTAGTCTCAGGCGTTATTTTTGGTTGCGCAAATCTTTCGGAAAAAGTAGTGTTCAGTCTTTAGGTCTTTTGGCAATACCCCAGGCAACTCATGATTATTTATTTTACTGTAATGGCTACTATTCAAATTCCATTATGAATCATTTGTAAAAATCTATTTACATTCTTCAAACTCTTTATCTAAGTAGTCTTTATTGGATTGTATCAGTAAGAACCAAACAGGCTTTGATTGGATTTTAGGAAATTTACAGTACTTGAAATCGGTGTACCAAGCACACCGATATAACCACGAAGAATGTCTATAAGTCATGTTCTGACAATGATAATCAAACGACTTGCCACCCTCAAATTCAGTCAAAAAAGTGTCGCTGAACACTATGCATCAAACTAAAATTGGTTAACTGCTTCCAACTATCTACAGCCATCAGAAATTCATTGCCAGAACTTGTCTATGATCGTCTCTATAGAACTGTTCACAGCAGCTACAAATAAGATGGACAAATGTAATCCCTACCGTTTGAAGGATAAAGCAGCGTGAGAAAATATGATGTTTTGAATTCTAACCACTAATTGTAAACATAAATTTTGAGGGGCGGATAGCACATCATGAAATATTAGTCAGACCCTAGCTACACTTTTATGCTCAGTGTGTCCAGCTTGAATATGTATAGATAGATCTAAAGTCATGTGACATTTCAAGCCAATTATAATTAGCAAACCATTAGGTTATATCTATCGAACAGTTTTATCAACCCTCAGGAATACAAAATCCATTATGTGCTTTTTTGAAATAATTACGTATTTCCCTTGATTAACGATGAGGCATATATATCACTCCCATTCCCCTTTTATCCATATATTAATTACTTCTAAGTATAATTAGCGCATCATCTGTAGGGTCATGGAAAACAACGTGAGTGTATCAAACTGCGGTTAATAAACAACATAATCTGTAACCACATATATAAACAAACATGTCCGGAAAAAACGTATAAGGTTTGTAAGCATATGAAATCTCTTAAACACATTTTGCATGCGAGTTCAACCCTGTAGCACACGAAATATTTCTAGAAGGTTCACAAGTTTGGTTTATGTCACTCAACACGACCGCCCTTAACGCTGATTATGTTATTCATTGCATTCCTGCTCTGGGCACTTGTTCCCAGCCCAAGCTTTCATAGGGATTACTATATATACACGCAGACGGGTACAGCGGTCGCTACTGAGTTCAAGAAGTGAGAGTTGTGAACTTGTGAACCTGAAATTAGAGTGTTGGTGTGCTACTGGTTATTGTGTTTTCGTTACCTGAAAGATAATCAATCACTGGGGATTTCCTTTATCCTACTGGCAGGATGTGTATAGAGGTTATTACATTAAAATTGTCATGCTGCTCGGTTATGTCTGAATCAGAAGTTTACACAGCAACGTGATATCCTGGACGAATTGGTACCACTGCGGATAATTATCATAGTAGAGTTGTGCATGTTATGAGTTACTTAAATATGGGGGGTTCTCAAGTCATTTTTCTAAAAATGCGTGTTGGTCCCGACAATACGGTCATACTGCCCTTATCACATGCTAAAGGAGGATAAGTCGTCGTGGTTCCGTCACTGAATTAGTGGCTATAATATTGACATGACGTTGTTGCCAATATAGAATTGTTCATGTACTGCCCTTGTAACAAATTAAAATGGTACAGGGTGGTACTTCAAAACCTTCTAAGATAGGTTCATTGTTTTTACGTTTATCGTTCTACCACCTCGTCTTATCTTGTAGGTTTTAGGTTTTAGATTCTTGTTTTGATATAACGACAAATTGATTCTCTAGTACGTAGAAATTTGTCTTTTGCACGTTTATTTTTTAGCTTTAGCAACCAAAAAAAAAATAATAATAATCGGGAACATGTGAGTCGCCCTTTTGAAACAGTAGTATGAATATTGAGGAAAGGAAAGACGTATCTTAGTAGATTTCTTCAATTTTTTGGTATGTCAAAGACAAAGCAATGGTTTTACTATAGTTTTATGTTTGGAGAGCAAAAGAGTTGGGGCTGCCATTTGCCAAGTGTATCTAGCAGTCGTAAGAGAGAAGTGACATCTTAACGGGAGCTCATAAGTACAAATTGCATTTCTAAAAATGTACTTTGTTGAGATGCCTTCTTGACAATTACAGTATTAGAATAGGATATTCTCTTGGCAGCACTGGATCTGCGAAGCATTCAACTGCGGCGTGTTCGTATCTCCTCAGTCAATTATGTCCTCCGTAAAAGAAAAAGTTACTAGACTTTTTGCCGCGACGTTAATTCTTTCGTTATATTTTCTTGGCAATCTTGAATACATGAAAAAGGACCATACTGGTACAAATAGACAGCAGGTCCTAGCATTTTAATGTGTTTTGATGAGCAAACGGTACTATCTGCCCCTTACTGCTGGACAGACGTAAGCCTTTGATTTTTATTTATCGCCTCAGTGCTTATTATTGTACTGATGAGTCACACAAAAAGGACACAGCAGATTTATACAGTCAGTAGCAGGTACTGTAAGTCGTATCGTAAAAGTTGTTTACCTTTCGTATACTAACTACTATAATAATAAATGCATAACTACCCACTGGCAATCACTGGTTCCTAGGTTCTCCAAATTTAACATTAAATTAAGCTGACTCAAGTGTCTCATGGACCGCAATATAGATCCTAATAAGAAATTTGTTTGTTGTGGTAGCATAGGTGAACAAAATTTAGGACGACGAAACTTGATTATACTTTGCCAAAGTTTAATTTATTCTGCAGAAAATCAACTAACTTTGGCAACACATTCATAACCAAATCAATATCTTCCAGTTATTTCTGGAATTACGCATAAATTAATTACGTTTATCTGTTGGACGACAAAACAAATTATTTAAGGACATTTTGAATTATTAGACTTGTACAAGCAGTGACGACTTGTTGTTAGGATTTTTGTAATACAAATTTAGTAACGATTGTTATAAATAGATAGACACATTCCACATATTAAAAGGAGGATGCCTGTAGTAGAACCATATCTGCTTTGTAACCTATTCATTTCGCTTTCGATAATACTCACATGTCCTTCCACGACTACTATATCTGCCACACTGCACATAATGATTTGTCAATAAAACCAGTAACACAAACACACTAACACAGTATTTCCACCTCATCTTTGCACTATATCTTCTAGGTGACTTCTTAATACTCTAACTTTGAGCATTATCTTTTTCGGGCAGTAGGTTTACCATATCAAAAGCAGATAAAGGTCAAGAAAATAGTCGATAACAATGTCGGTGCTGTGCTACTACGCTACTACTGAAGTGTATACGTAAATGGAAGTGAAACTGACTGGTTTCAGACCAGCGACCTTAGTAGATTGGTAGAAAGTAACTTGAATTCTAGCTCATTAAAATCGAAATTATTACAGATATAGATGTAACGAACAGTTGGAAGTATCGAGCGATGCTGGTAAAAGCATTTTTTAGTTTTCTTAATTAATTTAGACATTTCCTACAGCCTTCTCGTAAGAACTAATTCCACAAGTCAGATAAATGGGAACAAAAATCGAGAATTCAGGTAACAAAGAAAATTACACTTTCACAGTTCCTAAATTCAGAGTATCTCCGGCGATAGACCGAAAGCTCGAGAGTTGATGGAAGACAAAAGATGAAACGACGGATTGAAAAAGTGATATGCCATGATCTAGTGGGAGAAAGGTGATGATATTGATGACTTGTAAATGGTTTTGAAAGTCCATTCAAATCAAATAAGGAAAAAATAAGAACGACTAATAACTGAAATTTTCTTAGCTATCCAAGTTAGCATCTTTGCCTCTATTTAAGCGACTGTATCTTTAAGTGTTTACGAGACACCATAAGATGTGGTCCAATTTAAAACTCCAGAAATTTACCATAAGATATTAATTTCATTATTGCACAGTACGGGCACGCAAATGCAAAACTTTTACACAATACAAGAGACGTTGATTCACTAGCACCTACTGCATTTGGATACTACTATCTCAGCTACACCACCAAAAAATCAAAAATCAGGATAACTAGCCAGGAAGGGCGTCAAGAAGGTTAACGTCGAATTTTTCAAGCAATGCTCAGACAATGAAGATGACATCTTTGACTCCAAATTATCGATTAACGTACATACATATTGGAAAAAGGATCAACTGTGCATGTAAGCTGTAGGATTTATGAATCGCCATAGTGCCGATCTGTCACTCTATCCTTTTAAAATGATGTATTGTTCTTTGGTTTGTTCGTTATTTGAGTATTGCTGCTCCTTCTGACCATTAAGTTATCAGTCACAGGTCAACCAATTAGACCGCGTGCAAAATATGTTTCTGAATCTGTGTATATAAAGTGGGTTTCATACTAATACTCTATATGAATACGACTTCTCTTGAGCGACGTAGGATGAAATTTGACTTAATTTTCTTGCACAAAATCATCAATGATCACATTTAGGAAAAATTACACTTAATCATAGGAGAACGCGGCAAACCGATAATTTGTCTCCAAAAAATTGGTTTGAATGAACTCATAACTCATCTTCTTAGGTTAGGTAATAGGTGCATATCTAGTTTAGAAGTACTTGGAACTTCTTTTTATGTGTTTGAACTTTAAACGAAGTGTTAAGTACATTACAATGTAATAACTGTTTAAATCACAACTACTTTGTATTTGCAACAAGGGTATTATCCATTGACTAAATAAATAATTACATAAAAAAATAAATAAGGAAATAAATAAATTAATGATATTCGGTTGACGGATCCTCTATATTTTCGAACCGAACGTCGAATGCTGTAACATTTAGGAAATTCGATATAAGCAATGAATTGCTTGTGAGGTACTGAGTCAGTCTATGTGCTTTTTTCCAACGAAGAAGTAAGACTTTTAGTTATCTGTGACGCTTCCTCATTCAAAGCTTGACTAGATTCACTTAAGCCCGGCATCTCTACATCTTAAACTAAAAAGAAGTCTATTGCATTTTTGTTTCAATACCAGGAGCAGAAACTTCTTACCAATAGGTGTTTCGATGATATCAAACATGCAGTGCTTAGTTCTATACAACCCCAAGCCCCAGTTTTTAACCACTTCAGAAAAACTATGAAAATCAGTAGGAGTCTCTGTCACGTCGGAAAACAAACACTTTTTCGTTTTTTTCCCTACCTTCGCCGCATCGGGATCGATTTTAAAAACCCCCAAAAATTGTCGTCCTTTGTATTGTAGTGTGTCAATATTGCCGTGCTTTCCCAATTATGAAGAGATCGTTTTTAGAGATATATATCTCATGTAACAGCCAAAATATCTTAGATTCGAAATCATTCGCGATTACAATATTTCCTTGCTATTTGGCGTGAGAGGTGAAAGGGTTCCGATCTTGAAAAAAATTTATAGATTTTGCTACAATTATAACCATGCAAATGAATGAAAAGGCCACTCATTTGAAGATACAAAAAATCTTGCTGGGTAACGTTTTTATTAGACATCAAACCTGGATAATCGCTTTCCCCGTGTTTATTAAAAAAACATTGAAGAACTGGTGATACAGAAAAGTTGTACGTACTTTTTTATGATTTACTAGACATCCTCGTCAATTGTGTATTCTACATTCATCAATCTGGTTTTCATAGTAACACCTCTTTGGACTATAATCGCTGTATCGTGAGTCAGAACTAATTTCGTAATCAAAGTTGCAAAAGGATTTCCCTGAACTAGGAGCTCAAGTTCTTTATTTATATAAAACAAGGTTTCTTGAATTATACAAAATGCCGCAATCAGAGCTTAGCTTCTACAAAATCTTCTCAGTAAAAGCATTACTTATTCTACACTTTGGTTCTATTGGTGTATTGGATCTGCTCTGAATATGGGCTGAGCATAAAATATTTTGAATATAGTTGAACATGCTCTGAATTTCATTGCTAATAAGCTAATATCTGCATCTCGTTAGAATAAAGAATCTTGAAAAGGAGGTGAGATGCTATCACATTTTGAATTGAAAGGAAGTGGTTAGAATAAGTAATGTAAGAAACATCTGATATTATTTTTAACATAGGCCACCCTAAAATCACAAGACTTCTTTCGAAGTGGACTTTCTTTTCTTTTCAGGAAAAAGATATGAAGGCGACGTACCGCTTCACCTTACCATGAAGAAACGCGTTTCTATATTTTAGTGCAAAAAAGAGGAAGAAACGTAGAAATGTATATCGATCTTTCAAATGAAACGATAAGTCCATAAAAATTACGATTCACCCTGTCTCACCCCCTTACACCCCTCCAACCCCCAATATTTTACTCTGATAGTTTTTCCAAAAATGATCAGGATCCTTTGAAATGTCAGAGAACGAGGTTTGAACGATTTTTATTTTTTTCGTGTTTGGCCTTTTCTATGCTGTCACCGGGCCGATTTTAAAAAACTACAAAGCTTTTTCGCTCTTGGCGTAGTAGTAGCGTTGTGTTCATGAAAATCTGGCCGGTTTTTTCTAAGTTATAAATAGGCTAACTATTAGCGGACAGGCAGCCGGACTGACAGACCGACGAAAATGAGTGACATGCTCCTTCCTCATGTGCATGTCATGTAACATCAAAAGTTAAGAGACCAGCTACCCCTCTTAATGCCGTAGACATGCCAGCATGCCCCACTTAACGCTATAGGTCCTTTATCTGAGAAATTGTGAGATATGTTTTTGTTTGTACTCTAAGCTAAAAAATAGCATTCCTTTGTATCTTGATATGAATACCTTCTGTAAAATATGATGGTAGAACAATTCGATTTCTGTACGTCTTTGAGTCCTGTACGTCCTTAGGTGAATAAAATCTTATTAGAGATTTTAAAAAGAAGTTTTATTAAACAAAAAACTTATTTCTAAAAAACGTAATACCTCATTTTAGAAATATTTTCACGATTACAATACTTCCTCACCAGTAGGCGTGGGAAGTAAAAAGAAATGAAGCAATTTTTCTCAGTCATATCAGTTGTGCCACCATTTGGATTGCTACAATGTATCGGAATGTCTTGTAGAGGATGGTAAGGTGCAACTTATACATAAATTGAACAATTGAAAGCTGTGCTGCGTCTCCCAGTCGATTAGACTATATTTGTGCTTGAGCAAATATTGCCAGTTATTTGTTATAATAATGTCTTTGCTTAACCAATGTGCTCCAAAAATGTGATTCTTATGTTTAAGTTCGATAAATGAAACTTTTCCATTTATGCTGTAGGGTGAAACTTTGTTTCACATGTGTTCCAAATTTATAATCCCTATCTGTAAACTGGCTAGGTACGTTTTGGTAAGGTACAATTTACAAACCTTGTGGTACAACTTGAAGAACCCGTTGGATAAACTCTCAGTATTTATATTTTTTGTGCATTTGTTATAAATAAAAATATATACTATTGTATTATTCAGTTCAAATAGGTCGAGTTATTTCATGCAATATGGTGCAATTCACCCATTTATATACTATTAGCCTTATTTGCATGACATTATACAGAGTGATGAACAAGTCGTGACCAAAAATGAGACATCATACTCAGGACCGCGTTTAAAAACAAAAACATATTTATTGTCCACAATCAGAAGTCTTTACTTAAAATTAACGTAGACCAGTGGCGGAGATACAGGAGACTAGTGGCACTATTTTTCCAAATAACAATAGTACGCCACTGTTTTTTCTGGAAACGCGCAAGGTTTCGAATTTCACCTCCAATTTTCTACAAATAATTACTCTTGTGTTTTTTCCTCGAGTGCATTGTTTTCGTAAAAATAAAAAGACAAATTAGTTAAAACCTTTGGGGCTACGTAGGCGTATGTTAGGAAATCTACATAGTAATTCCGAGAAGCAGCTAAAGCATTTCCATTACAGAACCCGTGTACACAAAAATAATATCGGCGTACTCATCATTGCTAAATTCCTTTTCACAAAATGGAAAAAAGAAACTTTTGACTTTACTCTAAAATGGTAGTAGTAACGATAATAACCGTATAACACATAAATATCTTCCAAGAAATGTCAAGTAGGTATCAAGACCTCCTACTTTATTTTGAAACTAATTGTATCTTGGCTCTTCATGAATGATCATATTTGTTTTATTTTTATTGTTATGACAACAGTGTACTCTAGGAAAAAAGCAAGAGTAACTATTTGTAGAAAATTGAAGGTATAATTCGAAGAGCGGAGCGTTTCGAAAAGAAAAACAGTGGAGTACTATCTTTATTTGAAAAAATAATGCCCCTAATCCCCTATAATTCCGCCACTAATGCACGATAATTTTAAGTGAAGACTTTTGAATGTGAACATATCCATATACTGAATCTTAGTTCATTCCAGTTGACGGTTTTGAAGATATTAAAAAAATTTTTT